ACCCCACTGCCTGGATATTCAGCTGATTCCAACGGATAGTCCCCATATTCACCTGGGGTCGCCAAGGCTGTAAATGGGAACAGAAAACCTTATCTTTCTTCTGCAGAGCAGCTGGTGGGTTTGAACTGCTGACCTTGTGGTTAGCAGTCCAACTGCTTACCCGATACCACCATCAGAGTGCCTTAACTACAGGCATAGGCATAGAAGTTAGGGTTTCCAACACATACTGTGGTGGTGGCGGGAGGGTGTGGGGCGTAATTCAAGCCATAACAATGGTCCTCCCAGCTCCCGCTCAGATGGCCTCTGGCTTGCAGGCCTCACCAAGGTTGGTGCTGTTGAGCCCTGTTTCCCAATTAGAGAAACTGAGGCACAGGGCAAGTGTATATCAGGGCTAATCACTGGAGAAGCCAGGATTTGCCCCCTGGCAGGCTGGTTCCAGAGCCTTATCCCCTCTTACCCCTTATAGAGATGACCAGAGGCGGCATTGGGGCTTGGGGTTTTCCTTGGTGGCATGGTGGGCTATCCTTTGGCTGCTAACCACAGGGTCATCAGTTTGAACCCCTTAGCCTCTCCTTAGCATAAAAACACCAAGCTTGGAGGTTTGCCCTTCACTTTGAGACCCATAGCTCATACTGGTTTGACCCAGAAGGGGAGATTCTTTGCCCTTGGCAGAAAGGGGAGCGGAGAGGTGCAGCAACTTGCCCAGGAATACCCAGCTTGACTTGGTCTGGAGGGAACAGGTCTAAGTTGCACTCCTAAGGTGACTGAGCAAGTGACTCAGCCTGTCCCAGGCTCAGTGTTCTATTGGTTCAACAGGGATAATAACAAGAGACTTGCCTCAAAGAGTTAGGATGATGAAAATGGGTTATTTGATGGTTGGGGAGGGAGAGTGTGGAGGGGGCGGGGAGCACTTTCTTGTGCCTAGCGCAGAAGCTGGGGGTGATTGTGACCTGGCTTCTGGGGAGCTCAGTTTTTCCACCTCTAGGCTGTGCTTGCTTGCCTGAATAGGCTACGGAGCCCCCGTGAGCCCGGTGGTGCAGACAGAGCTGCTAGTGCAGCTGTGAGGTGTCCTTCCAGGGATGGGGTATGATCGGTCCGGTTGTGGCCGGTTCCTTGCGCTCAGCCAGCTGTTAGCGCGCCTGGGCTCCGGTTGCCCCTCCTGTCTGGCGTTCCCCTTTTTGGAGTAACACCTGGGCCGGCGGGTACTGCCCGCGGCCGCCGGAAGTTGCGCAAACGCTAGTTACCTGAGTCCCAGGTGGGCTGGGCTGGTGGAGCGCCCGGCAGCGGTGCGCGGACGCAGCCAGGTAGGTGCGGGACAGGGGGCGCCCGGTTGGGTGGGAGACGGCCGGAGCACCCCTCCCGTCCCCAGAAGACGGGGACCAAGAGGAGGTCTCGCTCACCGCCCTAGACCAGGACCACTAGGGTCGTGTGGTCAGCCCCCTCGTTCCGGAGTTAGGCCAGCCCTGACTCAAAGTGGGGCGGCGAGCGGACGGAGACATACTGCGCCCTTGTGCCCACGGCCCGCTCCGCCGCCATGGTCCCCAAGATTGCGTCGGGGTGGGGCAGGGCGGACCGGGGATTCGAGCTCAGCCCTTCCTGCCTTTTGGCGGCGCCGGCGCGGAGCCGTTGAGGAAGGGCAGACGGGCCGGCTCCTGGGGGCTCTGTGGACAGTATTTGAAATTCTGTGCCAGTAGGCGGAGTTGGGACCCTGGGCGATGTCTCATCGGGCACAAGAAACAAACCCCCCACCGCCACCTGGGACCCTGACTTCAACCCAGGAGCCGCAGTGCCTCCGTTTACCCACCTGTGAAAATGGGCCTTGTTCTGGTCAACTCGCTGATGAAGACTCACCTGTGCCTGCTGTCTGCTGCTGCTCCACCTCCCGAGGGTGCTTAGAGACCCCTGCGAGGGGGCGTGGTCTGCGGGGTTGGGTTGTCAAGGGAACAGTACCCTCTAGGAACGGCTGCCTTTTGGGCAGGTGCTGGGGAAAGTCTTTGACCTGCTTTATCTCTGCATCCTCTCAGGGACCTGGAGGCTGCGCAAGGTCTATTTTTATCTGCATTTCACAGATACGGAAATCGAGTCAGAGGTGCAGTGGCTTGCTTGTGCAAGGCGTCTGTGGGTGGTGGGAGAGTCCCAGGCTACTGGGCCACTGAGAGGTGGTGGCTCCTCAGGTCTGACATGGCGTGGGGTTGGCACTTTGTGTGTGTGTGTGGGGTCGGGGGTCCGGGGGTGGGGGGTGGGGGTGGCGGAGGTTGCTGGTGGTGGTCGGGTGAGACTTCTGCCCCGGCCCTGCCCATCTGACCTCCTTCCCACTGCTGCTCAGTCAGAGAACTCCCGCTGCCAACGGGTTGGACTGGTTTGGGAGGCGGCAGGGGTGCGGCAGAGTCTGGCTAGCATTGGGACTCAGCAAGGCCTCTCTTCCTGTCTGACCTTGCCTACCAGAGGTCTCCTGGGGGTCAGCCCTGATTGGGGGGCGGGGGCAGGCTTTACTTTTCCCTTACTCCTCCATCCTCTACCAGGAGAGCACACTGCTCCCTAGCCAGCAGCCCAGATGGAAGGGCAAATGTGCTTGCCAGGCATCCCTGTGTGGTCTGTACCTGCAAGGTTTTGAAAATGATTCTCAATGAATTTGCTTCTATTTAAGACTCTAGACCAGCGGTTCTCCACCTGTGGGTCGCAACCCCTTTGGGGGTCGAACGACCCTTTCACAGGGGTTGCCTAACGGTAGCAAATTGACAGTGATGAAGTAGCAATGAAAATGTTATGGTTGGGGGTCACCACCACATGAGGAACTGTATTAAAGGGTCTCGGCATTGGGAAGGTTGAGAACCACTGCTGTAAAGGCTTACAGCCTTGGAAACCCAGTGGGGCTGTTCTGTGCTGTGTGGGGTTGCCGAGGGTCAGGGTTGACTGGACAACAGTTAAGTTGTAGGGATTTTGTTTGCTTGTTTTTAACAACACTGCATGGACCCCTTGGGTGTGCTGCTTTCTCAGTTCATTCCTGGTTTCCCTGTTGTGAGCCACTGGGGAGGAGGGAGGGCTGTAAGTATTTTGTCTCAATGAATGTTTAATGAATGTTTGTTGACTGTCTACTTATAGCAACTCTATAGGCCAGGATAGAATGGCTCCCTGGAGTTTCCACAGCCTCATCTTTCTTTCTTGGAGCAGCTGGTGGACTTGAACTCTCGGCTTTGCAGTTAGCAGCCTAACACATAACCTGCTACACCACCAGGGCACTGGAGAGGCAATAACAGAATAGACAAGCATGCCTCTCTGATGACGCTGACACTTTTGGAATGGGGAGTGGGATGAGGATGGGTAACACAGGCATCAGTGTGATAGATGAGTGCATTATTTGGTACTTGGGAGGTGGTAGGAGCCCTGGTGGCATATACATTGGGCTGCCAACTGTGAGATCAGCAGTTGGAAACCATTAGTTACTCCTCTGATGAAAAGATAAAGCTTTCTACTCCCATAAAGATGCCCAGACTCAGAAACCCGCAGGGGCAGTTCTAGCCTGTCGCGATGAGTCGGAATTGACACCCTAGCAGGGAGCTGTGCAGGTGGTAGGTGACAGAAAGAAAAATGGGTAGAGGTGTTAGAAGTGTATGGGGGGAGCTCATATGATACTAAGGGTTGTCTGTTTTATAGGGAGTCTTCATGTTAGGCCTCAGCTCTGAGCATACTTCTTTAGGTCTCAGTTTCTCCATCTGTAAAAAGATGACAATGACACACACCACAGTCTTGTTAGATTTCAAGAGAAGACAGTGTCTGATGTCTGGTACATGAGAGGTTCTCCACAGCTCCCCCACCCCCCAACACACACACACACACACACACACACACACACACACACTCTGGGGTTTTCTGCGATGATGAAATCCTCAAGTGTGTACTGCCCAGTATGGTGACCACAGGCCACATGTGGTACTTGACATGTGGCCAGTGTGACTTGGTGACCGCATTTGTTTTTATTTCATTTAAACTACATCCACTTGGACAGCACAAGTCTAGATGGCCACAACTGTGAGCCCTCTTGGGAATCTCCTAGACTTTTACCCTGTTCCACTGTATAGAGGAGATAGCTGGGGATTTGATGCACCGCTTTTTTCTACCCCAAATACAAGGCTCTGTGGCCGGGCTCTTCTTCGCATGCGCCACAGATGGGACCTGACTCCTGGCGGGTGGGGGATCTGCTACGTGCCCTGCAGGGCTGTGTGATCATGGGCATTTCCAGCTCCGGGGTGACGTTTCTCCCCGCCTGCATCCATAGATCACGGTGGACCTGGCCTTTGCCTTTCATTCTGGAAGCGGGCGTCCTGACTGACTGGGCGGGGGTGGGGACTTTCTCACTCCTCCCCCGACAAGCTCTGCTTCTGCGCCTGGGGCCTGGCATGTCTAGGCGGGTGGATGGCACCGAGTAGCTTCCTCCCTGGATGAAGGAGTGGTGGCAGTACTGGAGGGAAGCCTTTCGCTCGGGTCCCCACCCCCAAGACCCCTGAGTCACCACCTCCCTGCATGGAGGTACAGGGGCTGACTGGTCTAGCGGACCGGGGCAGAGAACCAACCACAAAATTGCTGGATTCGTTTAAGCAAATTGCATCTGCTTCTGAGGTTACCAGTTTCCCCATCTGCAAATCGGGGTTGTTGCGGGGACTCCCCATGAGGTGGAGCCGGCTGGCCCCCCCCCCCGTGCAGGGCCCAGGGTCCACTTTGTCCCCATTAAACCTGAGAAGCAGGGCTTCTCAGCGGGGTCTGCCTCGCGCCTTTCTTTGGTCCCCTGGCACCTTTTTCTTTCTGCTTCAGCTGGGGCTGGACCTGGAGCGGGCGGGTGGAGTGGGCGGGGCCTTGCAACAGTTGCTTCCTCCTTGATGATTGGCCTTCTGGGGAAGGGGCGTGGCCCTTACCTTATAATAGGGAATTGAGGCTTCAGCCTCCCAGCGTTGGCTGAGCCTTTGTCTGTGGGTGCCTCAGCCTCTTTCTTTCCTTTCCTGCAGCGGTTGCCGGCAGCGTCTAGCTGCCAACTTTTCGCCTGGATCTATCTCCTCATCTCTCCAGACGCCTCAGGCCGAAGCCCTCGGGGTATGTAACAGCCATGCCTATGGACACGCTGGCCTCTGGATCCCCCGCCGCCCCGGCCCTACCTTTCCGCTTGCGGACCAAGGTCCCCGGCTACCTGGGGAGACGGCCAGCAGATGGTGGCGCTCGGAAACCCAGCGCCGTGGAGCGCCTGGAGGCGGACAAAGCCAAGTATGTCAAGAGCCTGCATGTGGCCACCACCCGCCAAGAACCTGTGCAGCCCCTGCTGTCCAAGCAGCCCCTCTTCAGCCCCGGGACTCGCCGCACAGTGCTCACACCTAGCCGCCGAGCCCTGCCTGGCCCTGGACGCCGGCCCCAGCTGGACCTGGACATCCTTAGCAGCCTCATCAACTTGTGTGACAGCCCTGTGTCTCCTGCTGAGGCCAGCCGCCCCCCCGGGCGGGCAGACGGCCCCCGGCAGGACCTCCCAGCGACCCCTCCACGTCCATCCCTTAGCACAGCTGCAGTCCGCAGGGTGGACGTCCGCCCCCTGCCTGCCTGCTCTGCCCAGCCCTGCCCATCGCCAGGCAGCGCCGCTGCCTCCAGCCCTGCCCGGCCTCCGGGTTTGCAGCGCTGCAAGTCAGACCTGAGTGAGCGCCTCTCCAGGGCAGCCGCTGACTTGGAGCGCTTCTTTAACTTCTGTGGCCTGGACCCCGAGGAGGCTCGGGGTCTGGGCGTGGCCCACCTGGCTCGGGCCAGCTCGGACATCGTGTCCCTGGCTGGACCCAGCGCTGGGCCAGGCAGCTCTGATGGGGGCTGCTCCCGCCGGAGCTCTGCCACTGCCGAGGACCGAACCCGCGACCGCGTCCCCTATGGCGTGTCAGTCATAGAACGCAACGCCCGAGTGATCAAGTGGCTGTACGGGTTGCGCCAAGCCCGGGAGAGCTCGGCAGTCGAGTGCTAGGCCCCCGGACCAGGCATTTGCCACAGGACAGATCCTCCACCCCTCCTCCACGTGCTCCTGCTCCCAGTGAACTTGTTACCAGGGAAGGCCCGGAGGCGGGACCAGCATCCCTCTGACAAGGACAGACCTTGGGGAAGGTTCCCTCTGGACCTTGGGCCACTCCTGCGACTCAAAATATGAGGGGTTTTGTTTGTTTGTTTGTTGACCTGTCTATACTCTTGCTCTGTTGGTCCACTGGGGCTGGATTTGGGGCACTTAGCCCTCCCTACCAAGAGCAAGGAGGCATGGCATCTCACTGTGCCTGTGCCCATCTGCCCACAGGCTTGGTTTCCCTCTTCCTTGATCTCTGTCATTGTCCACTGACTTCCTCTTCCTTACCCCCTGGGTCCTGGCTCCCTGGGCACTCGCCTTGAGTGGGGGCAGGGAGGAGTGGCCTGTCTACTGTTCTCCAGGGTCCTTAGCAGTTAGGCCCAGGTGGGTCGACTGCCGGAGGGACTGGCTTGGAATGGGCACCGTTCTGACTTCCCTCCCTTTGGTTAATAAACACAAAAATGCTTGTTTTTAATCAAGAGTTAGGTCTTCAGACTCTTCTCTGTTAACAGGGTGGTGGAGGGCAGGGAGAGTAGACGTGGGGTGAGGTGGGGTAGGCCTTTGTTAAGTTGAGGTGCTGCTGGGACAGGTGGTCAGCTGCTAGCCTGCCCTGATCTTTTTCTGCAGGGGCTCCTCTGGAAGGCTGGCAGCTTACTTCATAGGACACTGAGGCCCGGCCACAGAGTGAGTCTTGGTAGCACTCCCCCCAAGAGTCTCCCTACGGGAGGTACAGGGGGAGGCTGACAGGGTGCATGGACCCTCTGCTACCCATCTGTGTTCTACCTTCTCCCACCTCCTGCCCAGTGGCTCCCAGGGAGTGGGGCGCTTAGGCAAACCCTGAACTGGAGGTTACACTGGCCAGAGAGGCCGTCTTGAAAGCAAGAATTCTTGGAGGAATAGTGGCTTGGGGTAGAGACCACACAACCCAAAGCCTTGTGACCTTGGGCCACTCGGGGCCCGGGCAAGCTGGTCTTCCTACTGGGCCTCAGTGGGAGGGTTGGATGGCACAGCCGTCTTTGGGTTGACACACTCCTGGGTTCTGAGTCTGTACATATTCCAGCACCGGGGAGGAGAGGAGCAGCTGGTGTGGGGCTCTGAAGTCTCCACTCCTTCCTGCCTCCCACCAGCCGGGAGACCCTCCCCACTGGAGCAGCCAGAACTAGGGCCATGGATGTGGCACACCGAGAGGGAAGGTCTGGGGTGGCCTCTGGCCCTAGATCCCCCCTCTCCTGACCCAGGATGGGAGTGGGGAGGGCCTGTGTGGCACTTCCTCTCCCACAGGCTGCCTCAGCTATAGCGCCCAGAAACAGGAAGCTCCAACAGGGCATGGGTGTCAGGTTTGATGTAGGTTTTATTTTAAGCATAAAGAGATTTCCGTCAGGCTGTTGACAAATATCCAGGTCAGCCCAGCTGTCCTGTCTGTCTAACAGTCACAACTCAGAGGCTTCCGCTAGACCTGGGTGGTTTTGGGGGGAAGCTAACACCTACTGCCCAGTTTTGAGTCGATTCCGGCGCACAGTGATCCTGGAGGAGAGAGGAGAACTGATCATGTGGGTTCCCAAGGCTGTAAAGCTCTAGAGGGTCTGTCTGTGCGTACAGGAGTAGACAGCTCCACTATTCTCCTGATGGACAACTGGGAGGCTCGAACTGCTGACCTTGTGGTTAACAGCCCAGTGCCTAACCAATGACACCACCAGAGCTCGGGAAATGGGTTTTAGAAGATGATGGGGTTTGAACTCAATGAAACCAGTCCCCTTTGCGTGGAATAGGTACATAGACTGAGGTACAAGGAGGAGGGTGACCCTGCCCACAGCTGCGCTACAGGTCGGATAGAGCCAGGGTTGGCCTCCTGGATGGCCAGTGACAGGAGTGACAGTCAGTAAGAATGATCCCGGCAGGCTCTGCAGAGGAGGTAGCTCTTGGGGTGGCAAAGTCCAGCCGCCGCCCCCCAACAGCTTTGTACCCTGGAATGCCCTGCCAGTACCCCAAAGTTGTTCCATACTCCAGGAAGTGGTGGGGTGCCTCTTACATGTGAAAAAACAGGTTCTGGCCACAGGTCTGGTGGATGGTGAGCAGACTCCTTGTTTCTGAAGGAGTAAGTGCTGGGCCCATCACACCTATCCTCCCGCTGAATCTCATTGGGGTGACCTTTGGGCATCCGGAAGATGGTCTAGGAGCAGAAAGCCCTGTCTAATGGACAGCCCACAGCTGGTGGCACCTTACACTTTACCCACCTCTGTCTCCAACCCAGGTAACCTAGGGCCATTTGTCTGGCTTCTTAACTGAGCACCTCCGGGGTGTCTAGCAGCGAGCAAGTTAGACATGGTTCCTCCCCTTGTTTTGGGACAGGATGGGAAACAGGCAGCAGTAAGCACATCTACAGTCACACTGTAGAGGAGGGGCCTCAGGGCTGCTGCCCTCAGACCAGAGCTGGGCCATGAAGTAGGAGAAAGCCATATCCCTGTTGGGAAGAGAGCAGGGAAGGAGACCCGGAAGGGGGGAAGGTGAAATGGGGAAGGTGCTATCCACGGCGAAATGCACATGGACTCCTATCTTTCCAACAGGGCCTGCCTGCCTGGAGTCTGCTGGCCCCCATGCGGTGGGCTCTTCCACCTGCCAGCCTGTGGGGGGGGGGGGGCTCTGCAGAACAGCCCCTCCATTGTTCGGCCTCTTGGTGTGGGAGTGGGAGTCACTGCTTTTCAGCCCCTCCAAGAGCCTACAGCTGCTGCCCTGTCTCCTGGGGCTGCCTGGGCCTTGCCCCAGGTCCCCAGGCCATCCAGGGCACAGCTGCCTAGCCCCTAATTAGGCTGAGATGAGACCTGCCCCCTGATGCCTTTCCCACTGGCTAATTATATACACATGGGCTTGGGAGATGGGCCCACCTGGCTGTTCATTTCTATCTTGAAGGTGTGATGTGCCCTTCAGAGAGACATTATCACCAACACCCCACACCTGGCCTCAGTTTACCCTTTCCAGCAGTTTACCTGCTGTAGCTCCAGGGCCCTATTCCTGTCCCTGGGGAGAACCTCATCCCGCTGGCATCTTAGGAATGCAGAGGGTGGGTGGGACTGAAGAATTAGGCTAGAGGGCCCTGATTCTGGGATATCAGGGGAGGGGTGGCCCCGAGCCCAGGTATGGGGTCATCTACTCCCTAGATAGACATGGGCTTGGCATCTGTCCTGTCTCAAGCCAGAACACCCTTTCTTCACACTGAATATTTTTCAGCGACTGCATGCCTCTCCTGACATTTTATTGAAGACCTGTCAACCATCCTGAAATGCTGAAAGGGTTGTACAGCAAACGTTCATGTGCCTGCTTCCTAGACTCGCAGTTCGTATTTCACCAGGTTTACTCTGTTGTTGACTTTCTTCTCTTGCTATCCCTCTCAAAAAACTAAACTCATGGTGACCCTATGGGACAGGGCAGAACTGCCCCTGTGGATTTCCCAGACTGTGACTCTTGACAAGAGTAGAAAGCCTCAGCTTTCTCCCAAGGAGCAGCTGGTGGCTTTGAACTGCGTACCTTGTGATTAGCAGCCCGATGTGTAACCACGAAGCCACCAGGGCTCCATCCATCTTTCTACCCTCTGAGTGAGTTGAAAACATTGTGGCCCACCCAGGAAGCACTTCTTGAGCATCTCGTTATCTGGCATCCAATATTTGTTGACCTTATTTTGAAGATCAGATGTACACATGGCGAAATGCACGGATCTTCAAGAGGCTGTTTGATGGCTTTTGACGATGCACACTTTGTTGCTGTTGGGGGCAGAGTGACCCCTAGTGACCGAGAAGAATCTCCCACAGGGTTTTCTTGGGGGGAAACGATTGCCAGGCCTTTTCTCCGGCAGAGCCCTGGGGTGGGATCAGGCCACCAGCCCCTCAGTCAGCAGCTAAGTTAGGTCACCATTCCAACCCCGGTCAGGACACACAGTATCACCGACAGCCCAGAAAGCTCCCTCGTTTCCCTTCTCTGGAAACCCTGCCCCCAACCAACTCAATGGGTTTTTCTAGATAGATCAAGTAAGTAGCACTAGTCATAGCACCAAGGAACTATGCTACTGGTCATTGGTTCAAACCTACCAGCGCGGGGAGTGAGAAAGAAGAGGCTCTCTGCTCCCATGAAGAGTTACGTCCTCAGGAGCCCTGAATGGGGTCGCTGTGAGTCGGAATTGACTTGATGACAGTGGGCTATTTAATATTAGTACCTGTCCTTCCCCCTCCTCCTCCCAGGCTAACTCTTTCCCAACTTTAGTTATTTCTTCTGGTGCTTTCTTCCGCATTTTTCAATTTATGGTTGCTGTCTTGATTGATTGATTGATTACGGGCAGATATTATTGGCTGATTTCCTGGTTCTGATCTCTTCCCACATGTCATCTGCGAAGCCTGGCCACCTGGGCTTGCCCTTCCAGCCCTTCCCATTGGCTGGCTGACGTTGGGCGAATGACTTCACCTTCTCGGGTCTCCGTTTCCTCATTTGCCAATTGGGGTTTCCCCATTGCCAAATGCGGTTGCTGAGCGTATTTTGGTGACTGGGTTGTCATGAGGAATCAACTCGCACAATGCTTGGAATAAGGCACATTGCCTACTCAGTGGTCAAAATGGGTTTCCTTATCTTTATTACTATCCAGGAGGGTTTAGCTTTACTTCCTGTGTCCCCCACCCCCACCCCCGTCCAACCCATCTACGTGGATGTCGGTTTTTCATTAGTGACTAAGTGTCTGTGATATGAGGACTCTATAAATGTTGCTTCCTGCCAAGCCCTGTCTTGAGGTACGCTTATACACCCTTGAATGGACACCGTTTTGTTCTCCCTCCTGTGACCACCTGCCTGGCTTTCCATTTGCTGCATTTTCTCTTCACTCCTCAGTTCTCCCGACACACAGCAGGCAGTCTACTGGTTCCCGTTTCCTTCTGGAACTCTTCGCCAGTGCATTTCAATTTTCCTAGGGGATTGGAGGACAGCTGCGAGTCTGGCCCAGGACTGGGCAGTCCTGTCCACAAGGCCGCTCTGAGTTGGAACAGGGCCCGGTGGCCCCTTGCACCAACAACGTGAAGTCTCTCAGGACAAAGACGAGGCTTTCTAATCCCTCAGAGTCACAGGCTCAGAAACCCACAGAGGTAACCCGACCCTGTCCTTAAGGTCACTCAGAGTCAGGGTGGACACAAGGGCTGTCAGTTGGGTGGTTTTTTGTTTCTGGAGTTCCCGGGTGGTGCTCCACTACTTGTTGAAAGGTGGGCGGTTCTGATCCACCCAGAGGTGGCTCGGGAGACAGGTGCTGGTGATATGCTTCTGAAAGACCACCGCTTGGAAGCCCCACGGAGGTGGTTCTGTTCATGGGGCCGCCCTGCGTCTGTGTCCATTACACAAGAACGAGCAGCAACCACGAGAACAACCTCAAAAGCCAAAAGATCTCCGGTACAAGGACAACCTGTGCGGCTGGATAGCATTGTGAGCCCCCACGGAGTGCCAGGCACTGTCCTG